GTTTTTGGCTAAAACTACATGGGCTTGGAACAAGTGCAATCCAGAGGCTCCTGGCTCAGCAGGAAGGGAGGTAAGTCCCTGAGGGCTCTGTGTGCCAAGTCCTCCTGAGAAGCTTTGCCCCAGGGCTTGCCTGCAGTCAGCAAATCTTCTCCTGCCAGCACAACTACAAATCCCAGATGAGCCCATGAGGATTGTTGTTCTAATTAACTAATGAAGTTGTCTCCTGTTGGGAAGATGGATAATCTGAGCTGGAGGCTTACTCCCTGTTGTGGGGGAAGACCTGGAGCAACACCCACTTCCTCTCAAGGGACCTCATAAATGTTGGTACACTCAAGGCCGTACTTTCTGCAGGGAGGTGCCAAGTGCTCCCAGGCACAGCATCGCCCTGAAGGCACACTGCCTTCAACCTGCCTTCAAAAATCCTTCTGACCCCCATTCTCTGTCTCGCACATCCAAAGGCAGTTTGGCTGCTCTCATCCCTGAGTTTTCACTTTGGTCTCATAGTTTTTACGCAAATCACAGGAGAAAAATTAATGTTTGAGGAGGGTGAAGTCTATGCAGGATCTCCCTGAGCTGCAGCCATGCACAGCACATGAGGATCTACTTCAAAGGGAGGAGCCACTTCATTAAAAAGAGAACTAGGGCTTTTGATATCAAGACAAACATCCTGATACACATCAAAGCAGCTTCCTCTCCTTGTCCTTAGACACCCTCTCCTGCTTCACTTAAGTTCTGGATTTTGGAATTATACCTCCGCCTAATCCATGCTGCGCTGCATCCCATCTGGATGGTTGTTTGGTGGGGAGATTCTGAACACTGTTTTGTGCTGTATGAGACCTTCAGGTCATGTCCATGAGCCAAAATACTCTGTCATTGCCTTCTGTTCCATATATGAAGAACTAAGAGCTGCTGGAGAAAGTGATTCTATTTCCATTGTAAAACATCATGTTTTTTAAAAGAAAGTGCAATAGAGAAGGGACCAAAGGCCAGCTGGGTTGCGTGAGAGCCCAGTGGCATCCAAACCTCTGGACACCCTCCCTGAGTGGCTGCAGGCCCATCCTTGGCAGCAGGTTGGGCATCCAGTAGCCTAGGAGAGAGGACTGAGGTGTGGACACTGACCAGTGGCACAGGGAGAGATGTGAGGACGCAGGGGCAGTGTGTGCACGGGGCGCTGGTGGGAGTCACACCCACCATGCTAAACCTCTCCTCCAATATTTGGAGTTTATGAGAAGGATTTCATGAGGCTCAAGAGCCATGTTGTGTTCCTAATGCCAATACCTCATGCTTTTGCTGTGGTGAGGGGCTTTTGTCAGGATGGCCATTTGGAGCTGGGCTGCAGGGTGAGCTGTGGCCAGGAGTTTTGTGTACCCCTCACCAGGTCACCCCAGGCCTTGGGGCACTCTTTGGGACAGGAAGGAGAAGTGGCTGACACAGTGGGGAAGACACAGGACTGAACATTCAACTATTAGCAGCCAACTACAGACACAGCCCAAAGCTGCTCTCAGGGCAGTCATTTGCATCACAGTAGCTGTATTCCAGGTTTGTGAGATGGGACCGGGCTCAACTGGGCACAGAGCATCACCTTCAGGTTACAGTGCTGGCTGGGAGTGAGGTACAGGGGCAAAGATCTTGCTGCCACTGGCAGGGAGCAACTTTATTATTTCAATTCTTCTAGATATTAAACATAGGCTCTGGGCATGGGGCAGGCCATGCAGAAGGGAGAGGATCAGGAGAGTGGTACAGCTTTGACTTGTTCCAGAATGGGTTAAAAACAAGGAAAAATCTTCTCCCCAGTCGTCCACTACCCCAGGGATCCATTCTACCTGCCCCGGCAGTTGGCTGCTTTGTTTCAGCTGCCCTGTTGCAAGCTGTTGTGTGTGGCAGAGGCAGAAGGAGTTGTATGCCCAGGCTGCCCAGAGCAGCATCCTCAAGGTCCCACGGCCACACTGAAATCCTGCTGAGACATGCTGGTGCTTTCACTTGTATTTGTAGCCTGGAGAAGATCGTGCGTGCCCCAGAAGAAGGCCGCCCTTTTTTTCCTGTGCTCTCCTGGCTGTCACTCCAGCCCTGCATGTGCAGACCCATCACATGTGTCTGGAGGGAGAGGGTCTCACCAGGAAGGGCTTGTGACGGAGACCCGCAGGAAAGGTGAGGGCTGTGTCTCCCTCAGACCCTTCCACACCTGCATCCCTTGCGCCAGCCCGTTACGCTTGCTGGAACGGCCACCTGCACTGCATCCCGGGACTCGGGGTTCGCTGGGAAGAAACTGGGGTCCCGCCCTGTCCCACCGCCCCTCTGGCACCGCCCTGAGTCCCAGCTGGAGTAGTCCAGCCCCAGCCCCAGCAGGGGCCACGGGAAGCCTGGGGCATGGGATGCTTTGCGGGCAGGGGCTGGAGCACAGGACGCCGCGCGAGTGCCACAGCCTGGCCCTGGGAGGACCCCCCACGCCTGCCCAGCAGCCCCCCGTCCGCAGGGAGCGGGCAGTGGGGCAGAGCCCGCAGGGACCGCAGGTGGCGGCGGGTCAGCCCCTGGCACAGGGACCGCCATGCGGGGCGGCGGTGCCCCCGCCCCTGAGGGCGGCGCTCCGGACCCTCCCAGGAGCCGGGGCTGCCCCGCCCGCCACGGCATGGAACCACGCCCCTTCTGTCCCGACCCACCCTCTGCGATTGGGCAGCGTGCCCAGGAAGACCCGCCCATCCTCTCATTTCTGAGTTTCTATTGGTAGCTGAACTGTCACTCCAGACAGACCACACCCCGCACGGGCAGGCGGGGAGCTGCGCCGCGGAGACCGTGGTCCCTGCGCTCGGAGCGCACCGGCGTGCGTCTGCCCTGCGCCGCTGTGCAGCCCCGGCACCCTCCGGAGCCACTCACTGCACTTCACGGCAACCCCCTGCGCCGTTCACTGCCATCCCTTGCACCGTACTGTACCACCCACTGCCCCCCTCACTGTGACCCCTGCACCCCTCACTGTGACCCCTGCACCCCTCACGGTAACCCCTGCACCCCTCAGGGTGACGCCTGCACCTCTCACTGCACCCGCCGCACACCATCCCGTTGAAACGCCCGGTTCCCACATTGCTATGAGCCACTTGTACCTCCGGTGCTATCCCATGCACCCCTGACCTGCAGCCTTCAGGACACCCCATGCTCAGTCCTTGCTGCAACACCACACTCCTCAGCAGCCAGCCCGTTCCTGGACCCCCATCTCAGAGCACCCCTCACTCCCTTTCACCTCCTGAATGGGGAGAGGACAGCCCACCCCACTGCCCCAGCAACCCAGAGCTGAAGTATTGGTACTGTGGTGCCCCAGGGCTGGAAGGAGTAGGTGTAGACTCAAGTGAGGAGCACGGCAGAATGGCAGGAAGCAAGGCAGAGTGTTGGGGAATGTGGTGGGATGATGGGAGCACGACAAGTCAATCAGTGGAATGATGGTGAACACATCAAGATCCGTGTGGAGCATGGACAACCACAGTCCAGCCACTGCAACTTGTGCAAGCAGCAGGGCTCAGGAAAGGAGATCCCACCTTTCTCTTTGCCCGCCCTGATAGGTCCCAGGAAGAGAAATCCGTGGCAGAGACGTTTGCAGGCAGTGGCCCCATCGCTGTGAAGCCTGGGGCCAGAGCTGCTGGCCAGCAGCCAGGTGGTTTCTGCTTGTGCTTGGGAGCACAGAGGATGTTTTGTACACGGTGGTGGGAGCATCATGCCCACCAGGGCTGGCCCTACCCCCAGCAGCCCCCACAGACCCCAGCTCCCTGCCCACTGCATCACAAGGCCTGTGTGCCTCTGTGGCATACCTTTCTCTCCCACCCAAGGTGCACAGCTGGTATGGGATGAGGGACAGTGCCGGGGGGCTCAGGGGCCTTTCCAGCACTACCTGCCCATGTTTCTCCCCTGCTAGGAGATGTCTTGGTGGTGACATTGTTGCTCGCTGCTGCTGTGATACCTGCTGCCCCCCTGCCACTTGGCTGTTGGGCCCTGTGACCGTGCCCCTGGTCCCTATTCACAGCTTGGCTATGTGTGGGGTGCTCCAGTCAGCTGGTGTGTGGACCTGGAAGATGTGGGGTGCCCAGGCAAATTCTTGGAAGGTGGTGGGGCAGGCAACAGGCCAGGGTGTGTAGTTGAAAGGGCAGGAGTTCAGGGACATCTAGTTGGGGAGCTACAGGGACATGTACTGCAACCTCACCCTGAAGGTCATGTATGGTATCCAGGCAGTGGACTCATCATCCACACATCCTCAAGACAAGATGACAACTGCTTCAACATGGACTGCTTGCCCATCTTCCTGGCTGGGCTTGATCTGATATAGACCGGCCTCTACACCGTCTTCCTGCTCTTCAGACCACCTGCCAGACCTCCAGCACATGGCATCTGGCATGGCAGGACCACTTTCATGATGTCTACACGATGTACACTTCCACTCCCTGGATGTGGCAGAGATTCTGGAGGCAGACAGCGCATTGCCTCATCCCCACGCAGGATGTGCACAAACTGGTGAAGGTGGTGGGGTCCAGGCAAGTCAGAGGTCTCTTCTCTAGGCACATGCCTTGGTATTTCTGCAGCTACTGTTACCTGATGATGATCCATGGATCCCTCATGGAGCACAAGGGCCTCACCAGAGAGTATGGCAAGCCCACAGTACTGGGTGTGAAAGTCCCAGATTGTCCCCTGGAAGATCCCTGCCAAGGACCTAGACACTAAGGCACTGTGGCTTCTGCACACACTGCAGCATCATCCACCTCAGCCTCTTCCTTTGGAGAAAGATGCAGCCTGGGCTTCCTGGCCTCCACTCCTGGCAGCGGCCCTGCTCTGCTCCACAGCCCAGCATCTCCCAAGAAGGTGTGATGACCACCACAGGGTAGGAAAAGTACATCTGCCCCTTGCTGTGTGGGTTGGGAGTTTCTCTAAGTCTGTAAATAGCTGAGTTCCCCTCATACTCATCTCGAAAGTGAGAAGGGGAACATTCCCCAGAGAGGGGGAAAGAATTGGTCAGTTGCCATCACTAGTAGAAAAGCTATTTTTAATTTCACCAAAATGTGTCTCTAGTATAAACTTTCAAAATATGTGGAACCTCTGACATAAAGATTTGTGCTAAACTCTGTACCAAAGCTGTTGCTCCTGGGGTCAGTGATGGTGGCACTCAGGGTGGGATGCACCTGGCATCACGGGATAGCTGAGGCTCCTCTTTGTGGTCCAGGGAAGTGTGGGGAGCACCAGAGGAGCAAGAGCCACCCTCAAAAGGGGGCATGTGGGGGACATAGTGGCCAATGGGGCCAGGATGTGGTCGGAGCAGGAGTTGGTACAGGGTCTCGCCCACTTGCACAAGGCTGTGGGAGATATGGTGAAGGTGGGAGACTGTGTCGCTGGCCAGACTCTCCAGTAGTGCCTGCTGCTGTCGTGATGTCTGCAGGATCTCCACCAGCAGTTGCTGCACATTCTGGAGCAAGCCTGCCATGCCAGACCCTGCAGTGAGAGAGGGGTCAGTGGCATCTCACCATGGCTCCGAGAGTACCCTGTGAGGCTGCCAGGAAGCTGCAGGGAGCACCCACCATGCAGGCTTGTGTCTGATGCATCTTCACCTGCTGCTGGCAGTTCACTCATGGCTGATGTCTCATGGGAGCCTGTGGCTGCAGCAGCCAATGGCAGCACTTGGTTTCTTCTTCCTATCCCCAGGGACGTCTCACCAGGAAAACCTGTTACAAAAGCTTGGCATGGAGCAAACAAGAAGAATGATGGAGACACCCAAGCCCCAAATTTAGCCTGACTACAACAGAGAGCCCTGGGAGGGCAATGCCTCTGGGAGCTCATGATCCCAGGATGATGGACAGGATGGAGCTGTGCCCTGGAGCACAAGGACTCACACAAAGCTGCAGACATTTTACTGGCTTTTCCCTCAGCTCCTTCCTGCTTCAGGTCAGTGTGACAGCCTGTGAGCTGCAGCCAACTCTTGCCCCAGGGCACACAAGCATGGTAGCCAGGGCATGGTACTCACCCAGGAGGGAGAGGGCAGAGAAGCAGCAACCGGCATCTGCAACGAGAACCATATCAGACCCTGCTTGTGGGGCTGAGGGGATTTACTGGGCTGAGCAGGGCAAGGAAAGCCTTACGTGGCATGGCAGGGGGTGTGAGTGGCAGTCCAGCAACGTGCTCCCCACCAGCTGCTGGGAGAAAGCAGAGAAGAGAGATATGCCTTCTGAAGGGACCTGCTGGTGAATCACCACCAGCCCGGGGTCTGCCCAGCTTGCCCCAGCCAGCCCCTCAGCCTGACATGCCCTAGCCACAGCTCCAGAGCGCCCTGCAGGGCCCCAAAGCACTTCAGAGCTAGGTACAAAAGCAGGACTCACTCACCCACCACTGCAATGCTCTGGGCTGGAAGGCAGCAGCGGCAGAGCAGCACACAGCAACACTACACAACAGACTAGGACTGGAAGAGAAGGAGAATCCCACATCCACTTGAAACTGCAGGGGGAATTTGGGGAGACAGAAGGTAGTTACCCAGGGTGGGAAGATGGCTGGGGCGCCCATGCAAACCAGACTCAGGGATGTATCCTGCATCACTTCAGTGCCAAATCCCCAGGAGTGTGAGCAGTGAGGGGTGTGCAGGTTACACACATGGGTGGGCTAAAGGGCAGGGGAGCTGCAGGCAGCTCTGGCCCTCACACACAGCCCAAACTCATTTGAAGCTTCATGGTGCTACTGGGCAAGTGAGGAACCAGGAACTGCTGAAGGGAAGGGAGTCACATGCCCTGCAATGCTACCAGCCACAAGATCCCTGCGCTGTATCAGGGCCACTGCCCCTTCCAGACCTCTCGCCTCATGATCTGCCATAGCGCAGCCAGCAGCCTTGCCATTCCCTCAGGCTGGGACCCCCTCCTGGCCTATCCCAGCCATCACCATCCCCACATGCTCTGGGGCTGGTTTGGAGCCAAAGCCAGCAGAGATAAGTCCAAACACACCCATCGTTGACCATCCCTGCTGAGGGACATGTGATGGATCCCCTGATCCTCTTAGCCTCCCACTCCTATCACGCTGGCATGAGCTTGGGCTGGAGCCGTGGCCATGCAGCTCAGTGCAGCAGGGCAGCTCAGTGCAGCAGGGCAGCTCAGTACTTACAACTCTCTGGCTCGTCCTTCACACGCTGCAGCATGGGTGACAGCAGTGTGCTGGAGGTGTCCCCGCCAACGTTGTGCTCTGCAGGAGGTGAAGGGGGGCAGAAAAGAGCTTCAGTAACTGGGGGAAGAGGGGTGTCCGCCTCCTCGCAGCCAGGACAAGCCCAACTCCAGCTGCCTGAGCCCACGGGTACCTGGTGTCCCTGGTGAGGATGGAGGGCGTGTGGCAGGGGCTGACCTGCGCCTTCTGGAGGACAGGTTCACCACGCCTAGGGGAAGAGAAAGACCATCAGCAGATCCTGGGTGCCCACGCAGCACCGGTGCTCCTCTAGCACCCCACGTCCAGCCACCCTGCTAAGCCCACAAGCCCGTCCCCGGCACGCACCTGGCAGCCTCCGATCGCCAAACACGGGCCGCCCGGCCGCCTTCCAGATAACCTTCATGGCTCGGTAGTGCGGCGGCAGCTGGGGCGAGTGGAATCCTGCCCTACGGCGCGTCTCGCGCTCCGAGTGGAAAGCCTGCTTGAGCGCCTTCCACTTGGAGCGGCACTGGGCCACGGTGCGCTCGTAGCCGGCCTCCGATAGACCCCAGGAGATCTCCCGCCAGAGCTCCTCGTTGGGACGCGACGTGGAGGCCATGAGCAGCGCGGCCTCCCCCGTGCCCTCCACCAGCGACAGGAGGCTCCTGACCTCCGCCTGCGTCCAGGCTTGCCCGCGGGGCATGCTGCCGGCCCGAGGACGGGGTGCCCGGGATCGCTCGGGCCCGTGCCGGCGGCGGGGCTCGGCCGTGCGCTCCCGAGGCGCACCGGGAGGATGCCCCGCCGGGGGCGGCACCGGGAGGCGCTCCGGGAACAGCGCCGGGAGCTGCACGGGGAACCGCCGGGAGCCGGCCCGGTGGCTGCCCCGGGATCCGCGCCGAGCAGCGCCGCGCCGCCGGCCGCATCGGCAGCCGCACCGGGCGCCGCGCCGGGAGCTGCCGAGAGGCGCCGGGAGCAGCATCGAGCGAGCATGTGCAGCCCCGGGAGGAGCCGCTGGGAAACGTAGTCCTGGACGAGACAGCCTCCCGCAGCGAGAGCCGCCGGCTCGGAGCGGGGTCGTTGTCTGCCTGCAGGCTCCCGGGGGTTCGGGGGCACTCTGCCGCTCCCCCTTACGAGGACACGGCAGGGATGGCCATCACGGCAGCCCTGGAGGCTGGGAAGGAGCACCCCAACCCCCCATTTTCCAGGGCTGAGATGCAGCTTTAGCCCCATGAAAAAAAAAAAAAAAAAAAAAAAAAAAAAAGGGCTTATAAGCAAACACCCTGTGGCCTTGCTCCATGGAGAGAGGGGCAAGGGAATGTGCCCTGTGTCCCAAAGATACCCAGTCGTCCCTTGCAGTCCCTAGGGCAGATCAGACCGAGAGAGCCACACTTGTTCAACCTGGAGAAGAGAAGGTTCTGGGGAGACCTTAAGCAGCTTTCCAGTACCAGAAGGACTAAAGAGGGATGGAGAGGGACTTTTTGCAAGGGTGTGTAGTGATAGGAGAAGGAGGAATGGCTTCAAACTGTCAGAGGGCAGGTTTAGCTTTGATATTCATCACAGAATCACAGACTTTCTCAAGCTAGAAGGGACCCACTGGGATCGTCAAAGTCCAGCTCCTTCCACAGGACATCCCCAACAATCCCCCTGTGTGCCTGAGAACGTTGTCCAAATACTTCCTAAGCTCTGTCAGGCTTGGTGCTGTGATCACTTCTCTGGGGAGCCCGTTCCAGTGCCCAACCATCCTCTGGGTGAGAAACCTTTCCCTAATATTTAACCTAAACCTTTCCAGACACCTGCCACTGCGGTCACCAGAGAGAAGAGATCAGTGTCTGCTCCTCTGCTTCCTCTTGCAGACTGTGATGGGGTCTCCCCACAATCTCCTCTTCTCCAGGCTTGAGCAAACAAAGTGACCTCAGCTGCTTCCCGTATGACTTTTCCTGCATTGGGAAGAAATTATTGTGAAGGTGGTGAGGCACTGGCACAGGTTGTCCAGGAAAGCTGTTGATGCCCCATCCCTGGAAGTGTTCAAAGTCATGTTGGATGGGGCTCTGAACAGCGTGGTCTAGTGGAGGGTGTCCCTGTCCTTGGCAAGGGGCTTGGAATGAGATGACCTTTAAGGTCCTTTACAACTCCATGATGTAGCTGCCTAGCCCAGCCCTGGCTGCATGTTTGAGCCAGCAGCCATTCCCGCTGCTTGCTGCCCCAAAGCCAGGAGTGTGTGGTTCCCTCCTGCTGGGATGCCGGGATGCTGGCCTCAACAGGGCTGCCCCTCGCCCTTCGTGTCTGGCAGTCCCACAAGCCCCTTGCGTTTTGTGCCAGGTGGTGCCTCTGGGGACCCCACCAGGAAGTGACACTTTCCATTTTGCATCACAGTTGTCTGAGAAGCTGGGCTGGGAAAGGGCTGTCGCTGCCCCTGAGGGCTGCAGAGCAGGAGACCAGGAAGGGATGGAAGAGGGTGTCATGTATGCTGACCTGCGCTTTCCCCCCACACCAGGTAATGGCCCCACAACTCTCTCAGTGGGTTCCCTACCCTCCTGCATCCCCTTGCCTTCCCCAGAAATGTCCTCCTAGTCCTGCTCCCTCATTTTTATTCTCTCTCAAACAGCTCCTCTCCAGCCCTTTTGCAGACTGCCTGCTCTCAGGGTGGGGGCAGGAGGGGTTCAAGGGCAGGGAATGTCCACTGCACTCCCATGCCACCGCACAGACGCTTCTACTCTCCTCTCCCCACCAAGCATTTCGTGCAGGGAGATAACTTCAAGGACAATCAATCTGCTGCAAACAGGCTCTCCCTTACTTTTCCCAGGCTCCCCCACTGCCTCCTGACATCCCACTTGGGATTCACAGACATTCCTGGCTCAAGGTTCCCCACTGCTCCCTCCAAACAACCCCCTCCTCCCCCCACAACCCCCATCCATATTAAATCCTTTTCTCAGCTCCTCAGCAGCGAGCACGCCTGCCCTGGTGCCGGGCAGCCTTCAGCCTGGGTCTCCTCTTCCTGATGCTCCTGCTGGCACAGATCATCCTTGTCAGCCTGAGTTTCCACTGTAAGTACCAGCCATCCAGTGCCCAGATCTCTGCAGAGGGGGTCATGGGGTCAGGGCTGGCACCAAAGCACTTGTGTACTGACAGCCTGAGCTGCAGCTTCCCCATGAAGCTGGGTGCTTCTTCTTGGGGCTGTGGCCATCATGGGTTCTGGGGAAAGCAGGAAAACTGATGAAGCAAGACACCACCTACGTAACTGGAAAGGAAGCTGGGGCAACAATGTGGGCTTGGGGAAAGCCACTCCATCAGATGACAGTGAAAGAAAGGCAGGAGGGAAGGCACTGATACTGATACTGAAAGAGAGCAGCACTTTCCCCGAAAGCCTGTTGCATGAAGGGCTCCCAAGCACAGCAAAATCTGCAAGGACCTTGGCAGACTCACCCACAGCCATGAGGCTGTCCACTGGGTGCTGCTGGGAGCAGGAGCCCAGAGTTGCTGGGACACACCTGTGCTCTTCTGCTGTAGATTTAGTGCAACAGCAAACAAGCTGCACAGATGGTCCCTGGAGAACAGAGGAGAGCCCCAGCTATGGGAAACAGACACTGGAAGGTAAGAGAGCCTGGTGGGCTCCTGGGTAAAGTTTGGAGAGGGCCTTACTGCTTCTTTCAAGCAGCAGGATCTGTCAGTACTCAAGGATGTTTCCCTGAGCTCTATCCCTACACATTCCTTCATCTTTACTGCCTGTCCCCTGGCTTGTGGTGTGAGGAGCTGCTCTAGCACTCCTGAATAGGCTGAACTGCTGGGACCCCTTTAGAAGAGATGAACCCAGACAGCTCGCTATTACCTGGGCACACCACCAGCACCAGGCTCCTGGATGCCACCAGCATTCCTTTGCCAGAGGACATCAGCTTCTGATGCAGCTAAAACCGTATCTGAGTTCCCAGCACTTTGGAAATTGTCATGTCCCCAAACCTGCAGCTCCCTGCCCTGCTCAATGCCAGCATGCTCCTGTAACTAGCCCCTCTTCCCAGGGCTCTGGGACTGGAAAGTTGTAGCTGGGTTTGCAAATGAGGGCAAATGCAGAGTGGTCTCTGTGGGGTAGACATACGAGCACGATGGGTTGGGTGGTGCCCTGACTGACCCCTATCACTCTCTTGTCCCTTGGGCTGGGGGCTGGTGGCAGCCCCTGCTGGATGCCCCATCCCACCCGCTGTGTTTCTGGTGTGCAGGGAGATGCCAGTTTTGCCCAGTTGGCTGGCTCTGGGATGCGGGGCAGTGCTACTACTTTTCCTCTGCCAAAAAGAACTGGGAGCAGAGCAGAGAGGATTGCTGCTCCAGAGGGGCCCAGCTGGTCACCATCCAAACCAACACCACCCTGGTGAGTGCACCCAGCCTGGCCTGTCCAACTCCCTGTGAGCATTGGGCTGTCCTGGTGGCCACCTCACGGTCCTTCAGCAGTCACACACGCACAGCATTGTCTCAGCTTCCTGTCCCATGTGCCCAAAGCCTTGCAAAGCTTCCAGGCAAGGAGCTGGCAATGCTGTGCCCATACATCACAGCCCCATCACTAATCATGTGGCTGGGCTGGATGTCCCCCCAGGGGGCTCATGTGGGTCCTCTCCTGTGCTAGGCTTTCCTGGTACGAACGGCTAATATGGATGCCTTTCATGTGGGGCTGAAGCAGGATGGCTTCAGGTCTGAGTGGAAGTGGCTGGATGGCACCACAATGGAAGGGTGAGGCTGTCAGCTTGTTCCCAGCTAGGTGTGCTGAAGGTCTTTCATCAGGGCTTGGGGTGGTGATGGGGATAGGCATGCAGGGATGTGATCCATATCTTGGCCATCTCTTTTCTTCACAGGACTGCATTGGGGCATTTTAGGGAAGGGGCATTTTTAGCAGGGTGCACCTGACCCTGGTGCCCACACTCTGCCTGGGTGAGGGGCTGCAGGGGATCCTGCAAAAGCAGTTTCCCAGTTTGGTCAGTGCTGAGCCCTGCTAGGATTGACCTCAGGGTACATCATGAGGGATGGGGCTGGGGGCATCAGGGCATATGGCCTAATTGGGAGGAGGCTGGCAGGAGACTCTGCTTCATGGGGAGGGCAAACTTTGCCCCCACAGCGTCGCTGTGCAGTGTCTAGTCCCTGGCTGCAGGAGCTGCTGATGGGACAGCCTCAGTTCTTCCTGCCCATCCCATCTCAGCCCACTCTCTCCCTTGCAGGATCTTCCTCATCCAGCGCTACACCCGGTCTTTCCAGGCTTGTGGCAGGGTGTCAGGCTTGGGACTTTTAGGTGGTGCATGCACAGAAGCCCTCAGATGGGTCTGCAAGCAGAGTGCAGCCACTGTGCAGTGGCTCCAGTCCTCGCCTCCTGCCTTCCTCTGGGGAAACACCACCTACAGCTGTGTGAGGCCCTGATGGCCATGGTGACCCCCAGCCTGTGCCACCACCCTGTTCCCAGCCTGACCCCAGAGCATGGGCATTCCCAGGCTCCACTGCCTCCTGGCTCAGGCCTCTTTACCCTCCAGAACTCTGCACTTTGTCAATAAATTCTGCCAATAACTGCAGCTGGCTTTGCGGTGTGGGGGTGATAAGATGGAGGTGCATCCTTCAGCTCTCAGACTCCGCTGCATCACTCTGAAGTGGGAAATTGCATCCTGTGGACAGGAGCCAGCATTGAGCCAGCAGGAATCCAAGCATGCCCATGGTACCAAGGCAGTGTTCAGCAGCAGCTCCTGTGCATGAAAAAAAGCTGCCCATGAAAGGTCTGGGCTTTCTGATCGTGGTGGTTGCCTGTGGCTTTTGCTTCTTGAGACATGCTGCTGAGAGGTGACCCTTTGCTTCTGCCATTCCCATGGAGGACTTGCTGGGCAGCAGCTTGTTTGCTGATGCCTGCTCAGTCTGAGGAGGTTCCAGCAAACACCCTCACTTTGTTTTGAGGCTGAGTGATGTGTGAGAGCCTAAAAGTCCTGCTAGGGCTTGATTTGGAGTTGTTTGGTCCCAGAGGCTGTTCTGGTTTCGGTATAGACCACTGGGCTGTTCCAGCAGCCTGCTGCTCTGGCACAGACCTCTCTGGGGCTCCCTCCCAGCACATGCAAAAGACCAAGCCCCCACAGCCAGTGCATCCCGTCAGCCTGAGCAGGACTGGGAGGTGGAAGGTGATGCATGGGGAAGGCTAGCCCTGCTGTGGCCTGTACCCATGGGCTTGGGATCTTCACAACCTGGGGACCTGAATGCAGAGGATGCTGAGCAGGAGGGAGCTCATTCACCCCCCACTGCTTAAAATGAGAGCATATGCAAGGAAAAAAAAAAAAAAACAAAACAACCACTTTTTGCAAATAAAGCAACTACTTCTGCTTTTCTGCATATGAAGATGTGTCTCCACACAATATGGTCTTAGCCACACTCTGCCACCTGACCACAATGGAAAAGGACAGGACTGGGTTCCTGCACTGCTGCTGCGCTGCCTGCATGGCCCAGAGTGTGGCCTACACTGACCTGCAGTTTGCTGAGGCCCCTGCTCGCTGCCCCCATGTGTCCTGCGAACCCCAGTGAGGATGACATTCACTACAAGAACCTGCTGCTGGGGCTGGTGCTGACAGTGGCCAGCCTGGGTGAGAACCCAGCCCCATTCAGTGCCAGATGGATGCCCCAGCACAGGGTGAACATGGGTGATGGCAGAGGTACCATGGGGGTTGACCATGGGCACTCATCTTGTCGCAGGTTTCCCATGGAAGAGTCTCAGATGTCTCATTCCACAAAGCCATTTATTCACAGCATAGTAACACAGAAACAGCTTGAGATGGTTCCTCTGAAGAGGGATGCCTAACAAAGGAGCACCCGGGCTTTTATTCCCTCAGTGTCTGCTTGTGCTCAAACCTTGCCCCTCCTCCTCTCTTCCCTTGCCCTCTGACTGTGTCCATCCACCTTGCTTTCATCACCTCTCTCTTTCATTATCCAAAAGGTCAGCAACTCCTAGCTCCTGCTGTGTCTCTCAGTGCCCATGTATCTCTCTGACACCGCTCATCTTCTTGCCCTTTGCTATCCCAAAGGGTGGCAGTTCAAAGCCCCTTGCCTTCGGCTCCCACTCCAAGCTCAATCTGCTTTTCCATCTGCATCTTTAGCTGCACTATGCAGGCCCAGCTGCCTGGAGCAGAGGTATTCCTCAACAAGGGGACGTCTGCACCAACCTTCCAGCTCACCTCTGCTGCCTTTCACTGGGGGTGGTTTGGTGAAGGTAGATAAGATGGTTTTCCTGGCTGCCCTTGCCTCTGCCACTATTTGCTGCTAGCTCCTGTCTTGCCCTCTCTTATCCCTCCATCACCTGTCTGGAGCTGAACTTTGTTGTCCTGCCTTGATACCAGGAAGAAGATGTAGCATACCTCCTTGGTTTGTGACCATCCAGTACGGGGAAAGCCAGGCAGGATTTATCAAGGATTTATTATTTGTCAGACCTGCCTGCTGCTGTGGGAACAATGGGCTGTGGATAAGGGGAGAGCAATGGAAGAACCTTTGAGGTCTGGGTCATGTTTTTCCATGGTCTACTCACTGGCAAAGTGGAGATATATGAGGTCAGGAGAAGAGGAGAAGAGTGTGGTTGGAAAATCTGAATGGTGTGAGGCCTGCTGTGGGTGTCAGTAACACCCTCGTTCCCCTGGCAATCGCTGAAGGGTTGATGCTGGGGTTTGTGCTTGGAGCCTTCATCAGTGCACTGGATGAAGGGCAGGGGGGGCTCAGGCAGCTGGGGGGCACCAAGCCAGTATATACATTACAGGACTGGGATACAGAGAGGGTAGGACTGGAGTACAGAGAGGCCTGGAGAAATATATTGATGGGAGCCTGCTGATACTGGAGTGGGTAAAAGTGCAAATCCTGCAGCTGGGAAGAAAGGAGAAGCCACACATCAAGCTGGGCAAGTAAGCAGCCATGCTGAACCAGCCTACGGAAACCATGGACCGGAGGCTGGATGGGGTCTGCACTGTGTCCTTGTGGTGGCAACTGTGACACTGTGGGCAGTGGGAGCTGGAGCTCAGGGCTTTAGGAGCAGAGAGGATGTCTGGACTCTCCAGGAAAGCCACACACAGCAAGTCTTTGTTTTCATGATAGCTGAGACTGTAAGGGACCTGCAGTCCAGTCCCAGCCTTGCCATGCCATTGGGCTGACTCCACCAGCCTCCTTCTATGGAAGCTCTTCTAGGAGCTGCCCTCTTAGTCTGAAGCCATTTCCCCTTGTGTTTTGCTACAAGCCCTTGTGTAAAGTCTCTCTCCAGATTTCCTGTAGCCCCTTTTCATACTGGAAGGCCACAGTAAGTTTTCCCTGAAGTCTCTCTTCTCCAGGCTGAACAATCCCAATTCTCCTCACAGCAGAGGTGCTCCCTCCCTCTGATCATCTTGATGGCCTCCTCTAGGCTGACTCCAGCAGGTCCCTGTCCCTCCCGTGCTGGGTGCTCCAGGTGGGTCTCAGCAGAGCAGAGCAGAGGGGCAGAATCCCCTCCCTCCCCTGCTGCCCACGGGGGCTCTGGATGCAGCCCAGGACACGTTTGGCTCTCTGGGCTGTGAGTGCCATGGCCGGGCCATGTGCAGCCTCTCACCCACAGCACCCCCAAGCCCTTCTGGGCAGGGCTGCTCTGGGTCTGTTCATGCCCAGCCTGTGCTGGTGCCAGGGGTTGTTCCAGCCCTTCGCCTTGTTAAACCTCATGATGCTCCCAAGGGCCATTCCTCAAGCTTGTCCAGGTCCCACTGGATGGCATCCTGTCTTCATGTGTGTCAAACCACCTCAGCTTGGTGTCACCTGCAAACTTGCAGGTTGAGGGTGCAGTTGATCCCACTGTTCACATTGCTGGCAGAAGCACTAAATAAGACTGGTCCCAAGGTGGATCCCTGAGGGGCAACATTATCACCAGTGTCCACATGAGGACACTGAACCATTGACCACTCTCTTCTGGATGCAGCTGTCCAACATTACCCACTGAACAGTTCACCCATTGACTCCATTTATCTCATGTTCAGAGGAGGACTGTGTTGAAGGCTTTACAGAAGTCCAGACAGAAGATAAGTATATCCCTCTCCTTGTTCACTGATGCAATCACTCCATTGTAGAAGGCCACTGGGTTGGTTGGGCAGGACTTATAGTGAAGGGTGCTGGCTGTCTCAAGTCCAGCTTAGCTAAATGGTTGCCATCACATTCCTCTCTCTGCAGAAACACTGACTGAGACAGGGAGAGTCAGAGCTGTTTCTGGACTCCCCCCACACCCCAACTGGGTCCTGGACTGAAGTGTCTTATCACCCTCCTTTGGGAGATAAGGTCCCACCACATTCTTAGGTATCTTTCCTCCTTGGTGGGAGAGGTCTCCCCTTTTCCCTATGTTCCCAAGTCTCCCTAGTGGTCCTTCCTCTCTCCCACTGTCTTATCAGTGGACCTTCATTTTTTCAGGACCACCCTCATTTGCAGTTCCACTGCACTCCCTTTCCTCCTGCGGTCTCAGGATTCCCACATTCACCTCCCAGGGTCTTAGGGCTCTTCATTGCCCTCATTTTCCTCCCATGGTTTCAGAGTTTCCTCATTCATCCACCATGTTCTCAAAGCTCCCCAGCACTCCTCCACTTCCTATACGGTCTCTGGGCTTCCCAGCATTTTCTCATGCTGATGGCCTCACTGTCAGCACCCTTTCCAGGCAGGACCCAGCACAAAGCCCTGGGCAGGTGATGAAGGCAGAAGAAATGTCAGGACGAGAGCTGTGAATGCTGAGAGAACGGACAGGCTGTAAATCCACAGATCTCCCCAAAATGGACAGTTTGAGAACATCAGTGTGTCATCCCCCAGCTCCAAAAATATGCAAATGGCAGATTCTGTACCCCAGCAGCCTTGGGGTAACAAAGAAGGTGGGAGCTGGGCTCGGCACTGGAGACCTGGGTCAGAGCTGCATTGGCCAGGACATACAGGGACATGCAGTGGTACAGTACAAAGCAGTATAATGTGTGTTTGCATGAGTGTGGGAGAGGGGAATAAGGTCTATTTTCCATAATCCTTGCTTTAAAATAGAGACACTTTCCCCCAGCAGTTTTGCAATGCAATTGAAGCAAAGTGTGCACTGGGGAGAGGAACTCAGGGTGCACACCCAGGTCCTGTTCCGGAGTCCAGCAATGAAGGGAGGTGGCAGCAGTCAGTCCTTGGTCAAAAAAGAGGTCAAGTCTCAGATGCACTGCTCAGCTTTGGGGATTTCTCGCAGATCCACTGGTAGGCATTGTCACACCGCTTACTCCACATTTCCCCATTAACTACTGACCAGCAAATATAGCGTTTCCTAGGAAAGAGGGCACATCTCAGGGCAGCAGTGACAACCTCCTCACCATGGACACCACTTCCCATAGATCCCGGTGCTGCTGGGGCAGGCAAGGCACCTGCACAGAGATCACCCTTAGGAAGTGTCACATTCCTCCTCTTGCTCTTCTTCTCTGCCACTTGGATAATTGGCACTGAACCCCACAGCTTGGCTCTACCCTCACCCCCCCTCCCTTGGGGCACTGGTCATGGAAATCCATCAACCCTTTTACTGAAGGGTGTCACAGGGGCAAAACAGCACCTCTCTAGTATGGCAAAAGGGCAGGTGCTTGTGCCAAGGACACTTGCACTTACAAGGGTTGTTTGTTGTCCATCCATGTAGACCTCCTTTCCTTATAAAAAGGTTTTCCTCCAATCCAGTAGTGTGCCTTAGACGCATGCACAAAATACTAGGGGGAAAAGAAGCTGTCAACCACCTACTTCATGACCAGCACTTGCTAGGTGCCCAGGAGCCCCAGGGCTGGCTGTGTTTCTCCCATCAGACTGCCAGGATGGGAATCTGGGGCTCATGGTGCCATCCTGGCATCTCCACAGATACTGCTACAGCTGGCCCCATGGGGCTCTGCCCAGCACCACCCTCCTGGGGTACCACAACCCCCCTGCTCTGTACCGGCACTGTCAGTGGTGTCCAGTTATCTTGGACCATCAGTTGAGCCAATCTCTCTGCACAGTCCTCCTGGCTCTGCTCCCAGGTCTTGTTTGTCACCGAGATGAAGAGACACTTGCTCTTGAAGAGTACCCAGCCCCTGGGGCAGCAATCTGGAGGCAGGGGCACAGCTCAGACGCTCATCGTTCTATGGATGCTTGGGGAGCTCAGCCTGGCTGAGTTCAGCCCCTGCATCTTCGTAGCAGCAACATCACCTGTGCCCCAACCCTGTCACGTGCTACCTGTGTTAATGCAGGCATGCAGGCTGCTCACAGTCCTCTCGCTGTTGTTGAACTTCAATTGCACCACATGCATCTCCTTCTGCAACACAGCCAGCTCCTGCTGGGTATGCCCCAGCTCAGCATTGCTGCTTTTCAGCTGCAGCTGGCTGATGTTGCCCTCGTGCCACGCTCGCTGCAGCTCTTCTCTGGCCCATGCCAGCTCCAGTTGTGTCTGCTCCAGGCTCTGCTCCCGCACCCTCAGCTGCTGTGACAGGCGGCCCTGCTCGGCCATGTGCTCACGGGAAGAGTCCTGCAGGCTGCGGGTGACCTGCCAGTCTGGGGACAGGGTGGGTGAGCTGGACATGGGCATGGAGCCCTGCCTGGGGCATGCCTCTTGCAAGTGAGAGTAGGGATAAGAGTATCTGGCTGTGGGTGGAGATTGTCCTGGGGATGATAGTGGGAAGGGAACGGAAGCCCCGGTGGTGGCAGGTGGAGGGGAGACATTGGAAAGCAGCGAGAGACAGTGGGAAGAAAAGGAGAATCAATGAGAAAATTGTGGAAGGTGGTGGGAGGCAATGGGAAGCAGTGGGAAGAAAATGGGAAGGAAAAGGGAGGCAGTGGGAAGCAATGGGAAGGCAGCAGGAGGTGGTGGGCATAAAATGGGGAGGCAATGTGAGGCAGTGGGAGGAAGTGGAAGGCAATGTAAGACTGTGGGAAGTCAGTGGGAGAGAATGGGAGGCAGTGATGAGAAGGCAGTCAGAGGGACTAGGAGGCAATAACTAGGGAAGAAGTAGAAGACCGTGTGAGGAAACGGTTGGCAATGGGAGGCAGTGGGAAAGGCAGCGGGAAGCAGCTGATGGTGGCCATGCAAGAGCCCCAGGCGCGCCTCCGCCCTGACAGCCCCCGCAGCCAGTCCCTCGCCCAGCCCGACGCCCGCTCCCGCTGCCGCCTCCCGGCCGCCCCCACCCCGCGGCAGACACCGACTCACGGCAAGCCCCGAGGGCCACGACGGCCACAAGCAGCAGCAGCAGCAGGAGCAGGCTGGCTGCCAGCAGCGCTGTCGGGACGCGCCATCGCCGGGTCCAGCGCCCTGCAAGAGAGGAGCGCCCGCAGGCATCACCCCGTGGTCCCTGGCGCGTCCTGCGCCGGGGCTCCCCGCGGCAGCGGCTGCTGCCCGTTCGCACCTGGGCTGGGCGCTGCTGCCGCCGGCCCCAGCGGCACGTTCTCGTACGGGCTGTCATCGTCGTCGGGAACGGTGGATGAGGGCCCCGTGGCAAACTTCAGGTCAGCATACACCACACTCTGGGCCATGTCCCGGGCGGCCCCGATGGCACTGCGGGCTCTGCTCTGCTTCGAATGAAAACTGCAGCTGGTTTCTGTAGAAGCAGAAGTGTGCTGAAGTGCGACGGAGGGGGAAGTACGGCCACGGCACCGGCGCCTTGCCATTGGCCAGGCATCACCATCTCGCTTCCTTCCACCCCCCAAAACTGCTCAGTGTCCCCTGGGATGGCGCTGGGGCGGTGCAGCTCGGGGCTGGAGCATGGGGCAGAGCTGTAGGGCTCGGCCTACAGAGAATTCATCAAACTTCCTAGGGCAGGGGAAAGCAGGTCTGGCTTCCAGCTGGGAACAGGGAGGTCTGCTGCTGACTCTATCCAGGATGGAGGTTCCCTCTTCTTGGTGCTCTGCTCCAGGATCTGAGCATCGCTGCCCTGATGCCTAAAAGAGACTTCCACATTGCAGCATGAGCTTTCACTTCTCCTCTCATCACGGCCACATGTCTCCATTCTGCCACCAAGTACACTGTGGAAAACCACATCCCAGATGCTGAAGGGTCATAATAAATGGCGCTGTTGCTTTCCCCTTGACCCCAGGCTAGTGCTTCCAAGCAGTAAGAGGTACATTGGGCAGTCACCCAATAAATGCCACTGGCCTGTCCCCTGCATGTCCTCTCTTGGTCTGGGCCCTTGCATGCCCAGGCAGATATGCTCCATTTTCTTCCAGGAGGCTGAGTAGAGGCTGCCCAACTTTTAGCTTTCTAAACCTCCTTCCTGTCCCCTTTGAAGCTGGCTTTGATTTTTGCCTTTCTCCACTGAGGAAGACCTTCCCTTGCTCTTGCAGAGATGATGGACAGTGGCTATGTAACACTGCTCCACCAGCACTACTGTGCACCTCCAGTGCTGTCCCAGGGACTGGCTGTGTTCAGATGTGCCCATCTGGAAGACAGTGGGAGGCAATGGCAAGGCAGTGGAATGGAGAGGGAGGCAGTAGCAGGCAATGGGAAGCAGTGGGAGGGTTTGGGGACATCCCTTCTGAAACCTGCCTCTGGATGCAGTTCAGTAGAGACCTCTGAGACACCAAGGGCCTGGAGGGACCAAGAAGATGTTGTGAATCATGGGGTTGTGGTCTTGGGAAGGGAAGGCAAAGGGGACGTCACTGATTTTTGTAACTCTCTGGGGCTTTTTTGGAGCAATGCCAAAGCTGAGGTCTTCATTGGAGGGGTCCAGGGAAGGGATGAGAGGTAGCGGAACAAAATACATCATGGGGAAAGTCCCATTCTCAGAGTCTAGGAGAGGAAATCTCTATCTGTGAATACCTCCAGCTTTCCATGGAGCTGTCATGCAGCAATTTGCTCCTGTATTCAGGATTGCCTTGCTCTGCCTTGTAGTCCACACATTTGGTCTATCCTTTGCTCTGCCCCTGCTGTGACACCTGGCTGTGCTGCCCTCACCCTGCCCTGTGCCTAGGGGGACCATGAGCACTTTTAGGGCGTGGGAGGGGACAGGCTGGTGTTTCTGGGACCAACGAGAGGGTGCTGGTCCCCGCAGCCATGCCTCATTACTCCCATCTGCTACAGTGCAGAGCAAACTTCTGCTTCTGCAGATGCTGGCTGCACTTCTCCTTTGCACCTCCAAGAGACGGCGCAATCACCGGGAACAGGGACATCTCAGAAAGGCATCCCAAGGGTGGAGCAGGAGCCAGCGAGGCTCAGGACTTGCCCAGCATTTGCCCACATGGCCCAGCTTTATGCTGATCTGAGGTTTGCCAAAGTGATGGGAGGCCGGAGCATGGCCAGCCAGGCGCTGGAGGCAGGTGAGAGCCCACTGGCCCTGCCACACTGTCCCTGCCATGCCCAGCCCCACGGCCTCAGCTACTCTCCCCTGCCTTCCTCCAACAGCCTTTGGCATGAACGAGGCAGAGAGCCCCTTCGAGAACATGCAGCCAGCACTGGCAGGGCAGGATGAGGATGGAGCAGAGCCCAACCTAGGTGAGTATCCAGCTGGATTCCAGCAGATGCAGGATGGTTCTGGTGTAGGTTGTGGGTGGTATTTTGGGATCCTCCCACTCCCATCACCCACACCATGCCATCTGTGCTGTCATGCCACCACTCTCCTGCCTGTATCCAAGAAGGAGGTCTGGGAGCTGTCAGGGGTTTTCCAGCTCTTCAGGTGATGTCTGTTGTCTGTTGTGTCATGCAGGGTGCTGGTCCCGTCGGTGGTGCATCCCTGTGGGTCTGCTGGTGACTTGCCTGCTGCTGGTGGCCACTGTGGCCCTGGGGGCTTGCTGTGAGTTGGAGGATTGTGAACATCTGGGGCAGGGAGTGGTTGGGTCAGGAAGGCATCTGGCTGGGGTGGGCACTGTGGGTGAATAGAGGCATGCTTATGCACACTCACTGCTAAGTCCCTGTGCCCTGTCTGCCACAAGCTGGCCTATATCCCTCGCACATCCCTCACACCATTACTTGCAATTTCTGCTCCTTTTCTTTCCCATCCTGGCATTGTCCAGCCTCATTATTGCTGCACTCTCCCTGCCCTTAACCTGCTGTGTCTGGTCCTATGCCCCATCCTACCTTGTCCTGCTCTCCCCTGCCAGATCATGCCCAATCCTTAACTGTACACTTCCCTGCTGTGTCCTTCCTTCCCATCTTTTCCCATTCATCATGGATAATTCTCTGCCTTGCCCTGCCCATCCCACCTCCCTTAAGCAGGGTCAGTTCCACATCCAAACTGTCCCATGCCCATGTCCAGCTCACCCACCCTGTCCCCAGACTGGCAGGTCACCCGCAGCCTGCAGGACTCCTCCCGTGAGCACATGGCCGAGCAGGGCCGCCTGTCACAGGAGCTGAGGGTGCAGGAGCAGAGCCTGGAGCACACACAGCTGGAGCTGGCACGGGCCAGAGAAGAGCTGCAGCGAGCGTGGCACGAGGGCAACATCAGCCAGCTGCAGCTGGACAGACTGAACATGGAGCTACGTCGCGTCACGGGGGTCCTGAGCAGGACAGAGAGGGAGGTGCAGGATGTGCAGGGGAGGCTCAACAACAGCGAGAGCACCGTGGCCCTCCTGCGCTCCTGCACAGCTATAGGTAGGGTGGTGGAGAAGGGAGGGGGTACTCTGGGTAACTGGCACCGCTCAGCAGGTGCCAAGGGGCAAGTACTGGCTTTTTTGACCACATGGTGGGGACAGGGTGGTCCAAGAGCTGAAGCAATGCCCAGAGCAGACACTGAGCCTGTGATGTCTGCTGGGAAGGTGTGGGGCTGTTCCTTCTTACCCCCTGGGGTATCTGTGTCTGAGCAAGCCCCTCAGCTGTGCCCCTACCCATAGATTGCTGTCCTTCTGGCTGGCTGCTGTACAGGGGCAAGTGCCTCTTCATCTCCTCGGAGAAGAAGACATGGGAAGACAGCAGAGATGAGTGTGAGAAGACATATTCTCAGCTCCTGGTCACCAAATCCTGGAGTCGTTGGACTGTGCCGGTAGGGTGCTGGGGGAGCTGAGGGCAGGAGATGCTGTATCCAGCCATGATGTCCCCAGATGGGCTAGCATGGTTCTGGGGGCCCCTGTCCTGCCAAAACATTGGAGGGTGCAAGGCAGTTCTCTGGAGCACATATCTGGTGGTTGACATGGGATAGAAAGGCTTTGGCATCCCTGGATGTTCCCCAGGCTGGAGCAGGGCACCAGGGCTGCTCAGCTGTCCTGACTCAAGGGGCTCCCTGGGGAGATGATCGCCCCCCTTTGAAGCATATAGTATGGCAGTACTATAGTATGGAATACATATGAAAAATATGCTTTTCCAGGTTTTATTCCATACTATATAAAAGCACTTTTTCTTCTTCTCCAGACCTTCCTGAAGAATGCAGATGTCCCATACTGGATTGGGTTGCAGAAGGGCAGTTTTCCTTGGTATGACTATGGCTGGCTGGAGGAAGAGGACCCAGAGGGTGAGGGGGCCTCAGAGGCCTGGTTCTGGGTGGACGGCTCCCTTTATGAAAGGTATGTGGCAGCACTGCCTCTTCCCAAAACTCCTGTCCTCTGGCATGGCTCTAGGAAGTGTTTTAAGTCCCACCAGTACCCAGTTACAGGCACAGGCCCTTGAAAACAAAGAGCGTCATAGCAGCAGGGACTGAGGGAAGGTGGGTGCAGTGGTGTGATGAGGTGCTTAGAGGACATGGAAATGGAAAGCCAAGACTAGGGGGTGGGTAAAATGCAGGGCATGTGAAGCAGGAGACAGCAAGAGCGGACAGAAGAAACCCCAGATTTTTTTGGGGCCCTAGGCAAGGTGTTTGAGCACCACCTCTATACCCCACATGCCTTCTTGATTCCTCCCCAAAGGGAGATCAAGCCTCCCTGTCTGTGGAGAATCCTGGGCTCCTCCCTGCCATGTGCACCACCTCCTCAGCTCACTGTCGCTTCCTCTTGCAGTGTCTGAGAGCACTGGGGAGGAACAAACCTGTCTGGCCAGGTTCTGGGTACCTGGCCCTCCATCCTCAGCCCTGCCGTGGAGCTGTGCCCAGAACAGACCCAGGGCTCAGGCCAGCTCCTCTGGTCATTCACGTGCCTTCAGGGAGGACCTGGCTCTCCCTGTTGCAGGCATGGAACAACTGCCAGCAGTGAAGCTGAGAAGGGGGAGGCTGAAGGGGGTGTCTCAAGCACTGAAAACATTTTACAGTATTTCTCAGTCTGCCCAGGGAAGTGCAGGGATACATCAGCTGAGGCTTTGGCCTGTGAAATCAGTAGGGGAGGACTGGGGGATCCCCCTTTGCCTCCAGCATCTGACCCCTCCTCTGCCAGTGTACAAAAGGCAGTTGTCAGCAGCCGCAGCTGCCTCAGCAGGGTTTGTAGAAAGAACATGTCAGTGGCTGATGTGTTGTTTCCCCATTCAGGCCGTGGCAGTCAAAATCAAATGGAACCTGTGCCATAATAAGCCGTGGGAGCATCAAACCTGCCCAGTGCACTGGTCCCAGTGACCTGCACCTCTGGATCTGTGAGAAGGCAGCAGGGCCAAGCCTCCCTTTCAAGTGATGGTGGCTGCTGGCCCCAGCACTGCTGTGGTGAGTCCTGCTGAGTCAGGGACACTCGTCCTTTGGGGTGTGCCTCAAGGAAAGCAGGGAGCCCTGCAGCTCTGCCTGGGGCATGGTAAGCCCCTCTCCCTTGGAAAGGCAGAGAAGTGCAGTCACCTCCCTGTGCTGGATGGGACCTGTCTCCATCCCTTTGCTGCCATGGGCATTCTGGGTCTGAGGTAGCTCAAGACCTGAAGGTGTGGCTCAGCAAAGGGACAAGATGGGGGAAAACCCTTGGCAAGGTGCTTTCCCAGCTCTGTTGCATGTGGTGGAGGCTGGGTAGCATCTCCTTCACCCTCCTCTGCTTTCCCTTGCAGCACCTGCATCTTGCACTGCCTCTGCTCCACCCTTGCTGCGCCCAGGATGTCCCATCCATTCCAGACAACCACTTCCCTCCCACAGCCCACTGCTCCTGGGCCACCCAGGTCCTTCCTCCCAGGTCCTGATGCCCCGTGGCCCTTTGCCTCCAGGTGATGTGCTTTGGCTGAGTGGTAGAGGCTCCACAGCCGACCCCACACCCGCATGGGACACTTTGGGTCTTGTGAGCACAACGGCTGCTGAGCAGCGGGGAGCTCGAAACTGGCTGCTGAGTGGATCAAGCACTGATAGTGTTGGAGCCATGCCACATCTCCAGCTGGAGAGAGCTGCGGTGCTGGCATGTCAGGAGCAGGAGCTGGGGATAGCACAGCCCCACCCCTACACAGTCCCCTCCCCACAGCAGGAATTTTCCGCCTGACCCCACCGCAGGAGCAGCTTGACCACGGCTTTTCACCCAGCACTCAACGGCCTCGGCAAAGCCTCAGCACCTAAGGAGGGAAGCTGAGCCCGAACTGGCTGGTGCCTGTGCTGACATTTGGGGATTTTTTTTTTTTTTTTTTTTTGCGCTAATTAGAAAGTAGAACAATGACCTTTAGGGTTCCATGGTGTGATTGCACCTTTCAAAAGTAAAAGTTAACTCACGCACTTGTAGCAGGCTGACGCTTTGCAAGACAACTCATCGGGGCTTTAAATAGCTGCTACACACGTGCACATGTGAAGATTAAGCAAAGCAGCCCTGATGTAACACTGCAGCCAGGTGAGAGCACAGGAAGTTATGTTCAACCAGGCGAAAACGCTCTTGGTTTATGATAAGGTTGTGTGTGCCATATATAGTTGATGAACTGCTGTGTGAGTAAGCTTGCATGAAGAGCAAAAGGGTGTTAACGGCAGGCTTTTAGGAGGAGGCATGTGTTCCTCGTCTGTCTTGTCTGCTGGCTAGACTCACTTGATAGCAATAAAGAGACACAGTTTGTCTGCTCTTTGTTTTCTTGTACACCACAGCAAACACGGACTCAAGGGCATGAACCCAAAGAACCTAAATAATGAAAGGGAATTTGTCTGAAGCCATCTCAATCAAGATGGGTGCTTTAGGGGAATTGAAATAATGGGCTGAGCCAGGTTGGTTTGCAGTCCTGGAGGAGTCCCCCAGAATGCCCAGGCAAGACTGTGCAACCTTCTGGGCCCACATCTGATGTGCATCCAAGAGACAGAACTAGCAGTCTGAGTTGCTGGGACATTCAGTTTTTAATGAACACTTTAAATAAGCTGGGTATATATTACTAGCAATTATTATTAATAATAATAAAAAACACAAAGAATTCTGCATTCACCAGTGCATTGTGCAGGAGGGAGGAAAGCCGGTTCCCACCCTTGCCAGGGGGCCAGGCAGCCTAACTGTGCTGCCCACTGGCCCCATCCCCATGATGCCAGGATGGCATCCTGGCCCCTCTGCCAGCATCCTTCTCCCAAACCTGCGTGCCAGGGAGATGTGAGGCACTGTTCTGACTCAGCACCCAATTCTCAGCATCGGTCAGGTAGGGACAACCCCAGTGCTGGCAATCCTCCCCGTGCACTGCCCATAGGCATTGCCCCTCTACGGTCCCCTGCCCTCTTCTCCCCATGTCAGGGACTGGTGTGCTCCCCACGCTTGTGGACACACATGGGTTCACCCACCAGCCCCCCAGGATCCCCAAAAACACACATACGCACGCTGACCTCTCTACCCCAGCCCAGGCCCTCTCACCCCCCTGGGTGCAAGGAACTCCCAGTTCTCCCAAGGTAGCAGGCTCATTATATGCCCCTTTGCAAGATCCCGCAGAAGGGTGAGCCCTTGGGAAACGGGGATTCTGGATCCAGGGCTTGAGCCCCGTGGCCCCCGCGGGGGACCAGCCCTGCCGCTTGGGGCAGTGCTCAGGGCAGCAGTGTTATTGCACTTTGGTCCCCAGCAGAGACCCAGCCCACCTCCAGGGTTCCCTGCAGATCCCCAAGGCTGATCCTGGTGCGGTGGGTGCCTGAGTGCCTGGGTGGCATCGTGGCAGCCACAGCACTTGGCACCATGGCCACTGGTAGCCACCATGTGCTGAGTGATGATAGACCGTGGGGATGTGCCAGGTTCCTGCACTGCCCAGTGCTGTGGCTGCAGAGGGGTGCAAGGGGCAGCTGGATTCAGCCCCACTCTCCAGGCTCCCCATCACTAGGACTGTGCCTCCGGCAGCTTCAGGCTGGGCTCAGCCAGCACTGGCCCTGGGGCTTTCTGGTGTTGGCCCCCATCGTGGCAGATGAGGCTTTTGGCCTCGCAGTTGAGGCTCTGGTAGCAAGGCGGGCTGGGCGCTGGCCGGTGGCAGATGGAGGCAAAGCTGAAGCTGAAGGGACTCAGGCAGCAGCCAGGGCAGGGCAGCACTTCGTCCTGCTCCATCATGGCAGCAGAGCTGTGCCCAGGCAGCATGGCTGAGCGCTCCGTCCGCTCCAGTGCTGCTGCACAGGAGATGCTGAGCTCAGAGAAGCCGTGCTCCAGCCCACTGCCCCAGGCCAGAGGTTTGCTGACAATCACGTGGTTGTTGTTGATGAGGAGCCCTTTGGAGGCCCGCACGTCTGGCTGCCAGGCCTGTGTGCCCGAGGATGCGGTGCAGATGAAGCTGCTGTGGAGGGGCAGTGGGGTGGGCTGCACCAGCTCAGAGATGTCTGGGCTGCAGTCCATCTGCTCCTCTGCCCTGGAGCTGTGAGTGGAGGCTGCTCCCCACGCTGGGGGAGGAAGGAGGATGGAGGGCTGGGGGTCATCAGTGGGATGAGAGGACCCCATAGCCAGCTCCAGGCCCCCGCGGTGGGGCAGCTCAGGAGAGGAGGGCAGAGAGTGGCACTTGCGGGGGCTGGTGGTGGGTGCTGAGAAGTCACACTGCACCTCCACGGTGGGCTCAGGCGTCACAGGATTGCTGAGCTGCAGCGGGGCGGGGGGCGGCAGGTCGAAGGTGAGCGAGATGACCGACTTGCTCGGCGTATCAAAGAGCTTGATCTTCCCCCCCTTGAGGTCCTCACGCTGGGAGAAAGGGTTGACACGGGGGGACGTCTCCTTGGACTTGCCCCCGCTGTAAGTCTCCAGCGGCCACAGCAGGGTGGGAGACTTGGAAGGGAACATGTCAGACTGGCTGCGGGACAGGTGCTGGTCTGGCTGCAGGTGCTGCGTCCCCACCTCACACAGGGGAGACTGCTCGGTGTGGCTGGCTGACCTCCTGGCCACTCCTGGGCATGGGCACAGGAGAGTCTCACCAGCAGCCAGCAGCTGCCCATGTGGGGTGTTGAGCACCCAACAAGGTAAGAGTGCACCCCCAAGGGAGGAACAGGGACCAGCTCTATCCTACAGACCTCACACACCCCTGTCTCCTTCCCCTACAGCTGATGGGATCGGACGGGAAACCCCACACTCCCCATCTTTACACCCTGCTATGGCCTGTCCCCGAGGCACCCACGTACCACTGAGTGTGGCTGCGGTTCCAGATGCAGGCATACTCTCCCCGATGCCAAACAGGGTAGCCCTGGCACCCTCGGCGTCCAGCTGGTGCTGCAGGATGCTCTCCAGGCACTGCGTGATTTCCAGGAATGAGGGGCGGGAGGTGGGCTCCATCTGTGGGCAGGAGGGATTCCCCATCAGGTCTGTGCCTCCTCAAGCACCCCAGGGAGCCCTGCACAGCAGAGGCAGCTCCCTGATCGCCCTGTGAGCAGGCAAGGCAGCCTGTCCTGCCTGCCTGCCCTGGTTGGGAAGGGCAGTCAGTGAGGTGGGAGTCTCACACTGCAGCAGTGAAAAGCCAGCTGGAGGAAGGCTGCTGGGCAGTCAATTCCCACCATGGTGCGGAAAGCAGTGACATCCAGACCAAAATCCTGCACCAGGAAAAGGAAGAAGAGTAAGGTTGGGTCTCCTGCGGCACCACAAGGCCCAGGGAACCTAACATAGCTGGCCCCCTCCCCCCTGCACTGTCACACAAGACTGTGCACCTGGAAGCACCCCAGTGGGGACGCAGCAGGGGAGCACCCTGATGTCACCCCAAACTGGGCCAAGGTTGGGGGATACTAGGACACAGATACCACTTCTGGTCTCTGCCTGAATCCAACTGCCCTGTTCTCCTTTTCAGGCTCACTCTGGGTTCTGAGGTTACCAGCAGAGACCATCCCTCCCTGGGCAGCAAGTGGAGCTCAGCACCCTGGCCCTGAGATGTGGGACCAGTCCTGCACATGGGTCTCTGCCCAAATCAGAATGGCCCCCCTTGTTTGATGAAGTGGTCCCAGCCTAAGTGCTGCTACCCACAGCTCCCCCTGTTCCCATCCCAGAGAGTCACCTCAGTGCGGGGCAGGTAGTCGGGGTCAGCTGGCACACGAGCAATGGTCTCGCACAGGATGATACCGTATGCAAACACATCGGCCTGTAGAGAGTGGGGAGTCATGGGGGTGCTCTGCAGCCCGAAGGTGATGTGCCCACCACTCTGCAGGGCCACAGCCCTTCCTCCCTGCAGAGCCACACGGGGTGTCTGGCACCTTCTCACTAGAGGGATGCCCAATTCCTTCCCTCTAGGTGCACCCCAGGACTGCAAATACTGCAAACCATAGGCAGCACAAGCCTGAGTAAAGCCCTACACAGTACCTCAGGTGAAGAAGTGAAGAGCCTCACCTTCTCGTTGTAGATCTCCCCCCGCAGCACCTCAGGTGCCATCCAGTACGGGGAGCCCACCACGGCCAGCGGCTCCTTCTCGCTGCCCTCACTGGGAGACATGGTGGAATATCAGAGGCTGCCCAGTTCCTCAAATGTCCAACCTCCCATCCTCCTGCTGCAGCAGCCCAGATCACCATCTCCATCTCCCTTCCTGGGCTAAGCCTCTTCCATGCACTCTACAAACTCATCTCTCCCCAGTCACACCACCCTCTTCTCCATCCCCTCCTAGCCATTCCCAAAATGTTCCTGGAGCCCCCCCTTCCAGGGACTATCTCACCACCCCCATTTCTACCCTTTTAGCTGCATCCCAACATCCATCCCTCTCCAGCTACTGCTCTGAGTGGGCTCCAGGGACGGGGATAGACAGGTGGTTGCTGCCCACATACCTGTAGGTGGGGATCTTTTCTGCCAAGCCGAAGTCACCCACTACAGCTGTGTAGCCACTGGCCTCGCAGCGCACCAGGCAGTTCTGTGGGCACAGGAGGACCTGTCACACCAAGTGCACCAGCCCTACCTCCCTGGCCACCGGTTTCAGGATGCCCCAGCACATCACAGCCTCCTGCTCCCCAGCTCTCCATGCCTGGGGCAGCAAGGCTGCAACACCGGTATGGGACAGCAAGGGCAATGTGGTGCCTTGGAACATCCAGTACTGTTGCTATCGCGCTGGCGCGGTAGTGTGGAGGAAGGGATTTAGAAAGGCCTTGGGAATTGGAAACTGAGGAAAAGATACATTTAGGTATGAGGAAAAGATACATTTATGTATGCCCCATTGTTTCGGGAAAGTTTCGCTTCAGCATCTTTATGTAAACCCCCTTCTCCCCACCCCTGAGCAGTTCCCATTGGACCTGACCCATGGGGAGGTTCTGATGAGCCCATGCTGAACAGTGTCTCTATTGTTTAGACCTTATCTCTTAATTTTGCTGTATAAAACTGTATCTGGGCAGTAGCCCAGGGTCTTTTGTCCCTGCAACTGTTCAGGCAATACAATCTTTCTGGACTGCATACAACTGACCTCTCTTCGTCTCTTTATCTCGACTCCTTGCGGCGACCGAGGCGCACCGCCGCTCAGACCGTGCTAACCCAGCCGCTGCCTGGTGAGCCCAGTGCAGTGGGACCGCGGCAAACCCTGGTTCCCTGAGGGGACAGCTAGCTGGAGGGGTCCCGGGGGGCCGGGGAGGGACGGGGGACAGCCGCAAGTGACCCCTGAAAGCTGCACAGTACCTTGGAGGTGAGGTCACGGTGGAAAATGCCCTTGGAGTGCAGGTAGCGTAGGCCATGGGCGATGTCGAGGGCCAGCTTGACACGCATAGACCAAGAGAGGGGCACAGGGCTGTCCAGCAGCTGCTCCAGGTTCCCACCGTTGATGTACTGATGAGAAGAGCTGGGCCATTGTATCACAGCACCCCTTCCCCCCATAGCACTGCATGCCCATCTCTCATCCTAATGCATATTCCAACCACCCCACACGCCAGCCTCCCAGTAGGACTTGCCTGCACACGGCACAGGCCAAGAATGTGTCCCCATAGGTATCCCTGTCCCTTCCCCAGGCTTGCAGGACCCCCGAGACTCATGGCTGTTGCCATACTCTTACCTCTGTCAGTGCATGCAGCTGTCCCTGGTGCACACACACCCCCATAAACCTGTGAGACAGAAGGGACCTGAGGGTGGCTGTGGCAGGGACTAGCCCCAAGAGCTTGTCCAGTGTCAGCAGTAGCTCCAAACCCCCAGGCTAGGGAAAAGGTGGGGGCCGGCAGTGAGGAAGCAGGTCCTACCTGAGGATGTTGGGGTGCGAGAGGCGGTTCATCAGCTGCACCTCCCGCAGCATGTTGCCCCGGTTGCTGGTCAGCTTGTTCATCTTCAGCACCATGATCTGCCCCGACTGGCGGTGCCGCACCTGGAGGGGGACGCAGGGAAGGCTGAGCCCCACGTACCTCTGCAGCCCCCATGGACACCAGGCTTCACCTGGCTCCCGCCCCAGCCCAGAGAGGGGAGCTAAGCATCCCGTGGCACCCCAGGGACCACTAGGGCTAGGGGGGCAGTTTCCCCACATCTCCAAGCACTCCCAGTAATGATGACACACAGCCCCATCCTTCCTGAGGCACCCTGCTTGTCATGCTCCCTCCACAATGCTACACTGCCCTGAACTCCCGAGAAGCAACAGCTCCCATATAAGCCATGAGCCCAGCTCTACTGTAGGAACAAGCAGGTACAGTACTGAGGAACATCAGGGAGGACTTGCTGTGGGTCAGCAACACCCAGCCAGACCCTACCAGCATGGGGTGGAGAAAAGAGGGGCTACACTGCCCCTCAGAACCAACTCTAGGTGT